AAATCAGAATAGTCTAGGGATTTCAATACAATCTAGGCACTTAGAAAAAAATAAAACAAGATTTCAAAACTCTAAGAAAAAATTATTTTCTAAACTAGAATCATATAATCAGCCAGATTATTAATCAAATAATAAACGATGGATAAAACATAGTCATATGGGCAAATCCGCCATCACCCTTTCTCAAGAAGCTATTGGAGGATATACTTTAAAATAATGAAATAAACCAAGACCAAGGCAGGTAAGCCAGATAATGGGTATTTAACATTTAGAAAAGGAGGAAAAAATTCTCAGAAAAGGAAGTCTTAGGACTATAGGATTAGAGATTAACAACCTATATTAAATTAGGACTATGTAGGGGAGAAAAACTGATAGATTATCTGATTTCTCGGAGGCATTTTACAGTTTTGTCAAATAGTTTCAGGCCTCAAATTGTGTTTAAAATTATATTAATTTGAACAAAGGAAAACTAGACCATGACAACTAAGAAAATCAAAAAGTTGTGCAACAAAGGAAATTTAGTGTGAATATAGCAAACTTGTAGCTTCACTATGACCAAAATTTACATTATCATATGACTGTAAATAATGTATATTAATTTAAGCCAAAAATAGGACAGAAATGTATTGGGGAATAGAAATAGAACAGAGAACATTCTCTCTTGATGTATTCCTTTCTAACTTATAAATCACTAGTTATGTCTAAAGTCTGTTTCCCTCCAACACTTCTTTCTGGACATTCTCTTTCCTTTGGTCCTATTGGATCTGCCCTACACAGAATTCTACTCCAGCATTTTCCATTCAGTACAGGGGTCTGTCCTGGAAAAGAACTTCAATGTGTCATTTTAGAGAAGTCACATGACAAAGACTGGCAGACTACTCCCCCCGCCCCACAAAAAAAATGGATTAACACTAGTGAACAAATTTTGACATGTATTCTGCAATGAAATTCTTTGTGAATTTGCTAATTTCAAAACTACCCTTACTGCCTAAACAGTAAAGTTCAATAACTTCTCCAAGAGTTTAAAACACAAAAGACTTTTAACTATAAATTCCTCTAACTAGAAACAATGGTGAGAGGAATGATTTTTCCAAAAATAAGTTGAATCATTTCATTCATTTGCTTGCTTAGTGCTTATAAATAAGGAGTCGTTATATAGTTTGCTCTCTCTCTTCCAAAACATTCAACCACCCTGGGAGAGAATGCATAATAAGGCACTGATAAAGCCCTGTGCTGTCTTCCAGCACAGCATGCTACTATTATAAGAGGGCTATTCCTTCTGTTTACACAGTGATAAACAAGAAGAACACTTACCGAGCTGGGGCTGGAGTGCCGCCTAACTTTAGGTGACTCTTTGCCAGTGGAGGAGGTCTTAAAGTTAATGCAAGCATTGTTCTCAGAATGCACCCTCTTTACTTGATTAGTTGGTTTCTCAAATGGGTCAAAAGTGCTCTGTGTCCTCTGAACTCTGACTTTTTTATCCTCAGGAATTGTGTCCAGGGGTTTGATCACTGAGTCCATTCCCTGGCAATTCCGTGTAGACATCTTTGTGACACATATCTGAGAAAAGAAGAAATTAAATTCAGAACTCTTCACTGCAACTTTAATATCACTAAACATGCCAATATATTACTCTAGAAAGCATGCCAATTTCAGTTTCAGGAAATACCCAAAAAGCCCACATTCTAAAAGCTGCATCAACATACATTACAGTACAGTACAAAAAATTCCTCACAATCATTCTGCTTATACTCACTTAAGGCTTACACTTAAAAAAACTACCTCTAAAAAGGGAAACTTAAGTCCTAGGCTTCTAGTAGTACCCTAAGATGATTCTTGAACCCCGTCACATGTTTTACCACATGACTGTTAAGTGGTTTATTTCTGAATCATTAAGAGGTTGGATAACTGGCCTTAATTTAAAAAACAAAAAATAGTTGGGTGAATCAGATGTGCACTTTAACGATGGGTCATCATGTAAGCCACTAACCTAGGCTAGATAAAGAAAAGGCATTATGTTGTTTAAAAGTTGTATGTATGAATATGTATGCTTAAAATCTGTCCCCATCTTGATTTCATCTCCGAATTGGAATGAATGGAGCTAACGTTTAGAGATGTTAAAGAACTGAGGACAATGGTGGGGGTTTTCTTTATTTCAAAGCTAATGGATAAAAAATAAATAACATTGTAAAAGAAAAACAGCAAAGAGCATTCATTTCAAAATTTTGTTTACGTTACTCCACTAGACCTCCACTTCCTTCCCTTCTCCCTTCTCCTTCACCCATTCTTTTCCTGTCCAGCCTGCCCTACTCTCTCATTTTATTTTAGTCTCTGTGATTTTTGTTCCTTGCTTTTCACTCTATGTTCTAAGCCTGTCATTCTCTCTATACTCTGGAGACTTTGTTGTCCTTATTAAATAATTTGGCAGCCTCTAGCTTGTCTGTAAAACTAGCTAATTTAATTTTCTCTAAAGAAAATATAACTCTAAATAAAATTGTTTTTAGAACTTTCTTCTTGTAAAAAGTTCCCACATCCCTATATGCTATCAAAAGCAGAAAAACAGAAGATATTTATGAAAAGCCCACATTGTTAAAGTAAAAATATCAAGTTTTTGAATAATACTTTGGATCCATGGTGAGTTGAGTATGTGAATACAGAACCCACAGAGATACACAGAGTTAATATGTACAGAATGATTCCATGTAGAGGATAAATGGAGCTATGTATATGGATATAGACAGATACAGATATAAATCAGACTCAGATACATAGTTACAGATATTTGTGAGTGCATGAACATGGTGAAAAGTATACAGGAAAACACACCAAACTATTAACATCAGATATCTCCAGACATGTAGAATTGAATGGGTAATGGGTAAGATTAGCAATTTTTTGTACACTCTTATGTTGTATGAATTTTATAATAAATATGCCAATTTATGCAATGTTTGTAAATCCACTAAAGTAGAAAAGTATGTATAATTAAAATAAACCATTTCAAGTTTTTTAAATAAAAAGTTTTTAATTGTTAAACATCAACCCGGTCCTAAGAGTATGTCTCAACTACTAAGCACAGGCTGAATTCTAACTAAGTCAAATGAGAAGAATATTGTCACACTTTTTAGCATGTGAGAAAACAGGTGAAGATGATTTTAAAAGACTCAAGGCAGGGTCCTCCAGACATGACCAAAAAGTAAAAATTTATTACAAGTTTTTTGGAGCACGCAATATTTTTTTTTTTTTTTTGAGACGGAGTTTCACCCTTGTTACCCAGGCTGGAGTGCAATTGCGCGATCTCGGCTCAC